TTGTTGCAGTTGCACTTGGCCGGATAATCCACTGAGAAAACGTTATAAACACATGAAGAAATCTGACCAGCACAACAATGCCGGGAGGATGTGAACACAAAAAGACAGAAACAGCACAGACATTTCGTCCCTTTTAATTGCACAGCGCCTGCCACGTCGACGCTGGGACAGGTTCCTGAAGTATAGCTAAGTAAAATATCATACTTAAAAGTAACGATAAACATAAGTAACTTTTGTCAAAAGTACCAATAGGTAAAGTAGCTTTTATTTTGAAAATTCAAATTTACTTTTGAGATCGTGGGGCATTTCATTCGTGGATCGCCACCACAGCCCAGACTCGCAGTGCTCGTCCGTGGTCTCGAAGTCGCAGTCTGCCGATGGTGGGCCTTAGCGCCACTCAGCTCCCCCCGGAGACGCTTCGTCCAGGAGATATACTTGAGTATTTCTCGCAGGGGTTTGTCTGTGGCGATCGCCGCGGCCTTCGAGTTGGCGTTGTCCTGCAGATCTCGAGCGCACTTGGTAACCCGTTTCCAGTATCACTGGATACCGAGGAGCCTCTTCCGCTGACAAATATGGTGCGCCGTCGATTTGACATCGCTGGCACCGCGCTGCTCCTGGACAGCGTTCGTTGGCGCAAGCTGCGGTCCTTTCAACTAGTTCCGGGAGTGTATAAGGCGCCCAAAGGGGCCGCACGCCTTTGTGACGCCCTCAAGGCGCATCTGGACGAGGCCTTTGCCTCAATAGGGGCTGTGTTACCTTCCGAGAGCGATGAAACAAGCTCACGACCCCCAAACCGATTCGTACGTGACCCACCGCGCGATGACCCAGCGCCGCGCCACTCAAGGCCGTCCCGAACGCCCATTTTTGGGATAGAGCCATCTCCGTGCAGCTCAGAGACTACTGGAGCGTTGACTGCAAACATTCTACCCGAGGGTTTTAGGAAAACCACTCTTCAGATGCCGGTAGAAGCGATCGTGGACCTTGCGGGAGATGACATGGAGCAGGATGTGGACGGAGATGGTAAGGAGGACGAAAAGTCCACTCAAACCAACATTGTGGACGCGTTGGCGTCGCCCCCGTGGAGCCGCAACAAGCTGCGACGAATGCCTTCCAACTACGAGCCCATCACAGACCTCGAGGCTGCAGACGACGAGCCGGAGGTGTCGGACACCGACGTGCTGGCCGCAGGCGACTTCATGGAAACTGTTCCCACCCGGTGGGAACGACACAAGCGCCGTCACCAGAGGAAGCAAAAGGCGGGACAGTGGAGAGAAGGTCGATCCAGGAAACGCCGCCATCTCAAGCTGTGTGGTGTCACCCGAAGCGATATGCGACTATATAACGCGTATTCCACGAAAGCCAGGTCGGCGAAAGCTATTCTACGCATCCGAGGACTTCGCACGCGACTACGAGAGCTGCGCTTACGTCGATCTACGTATGTAGAGCCATCTACAACAGGGTATTTCCTGCCGAAGGAGGTTCCGTGGCCCAGCGACGTCCTCAAAACCAACGAGTGTCTAAACACAGAGGGCGTGGAGTTCGCTGACGTCGGCGATTTTGGGCGCTGCTCATGCGCTGGCGACTGTTACCTGGATACGTGTGCAAATGCCGATGGTGCTCTCTACTGTACTCCAGAGTCGTGCAACCTGGCTGGCAAGTGCAGCAACGCACCGAGGACGCTGGACACGTTGAAGCTCTTCGACACGGGACGCGTCGGTCTTGGCGTCTACACAACAAACCAACCTGAGCGTCGGCGACGTAATCGGGGAGTACACGGGGGTGCTGAGCGCGTTCGACCCCATCGACGTCGGTGTACCGGGCCAAAGAATGAAAAACAACACGGGGTACACGATGTTGCTCAACACGAAGTCCAGGAGAAAGAAGTACGTGTACGTAGAGGCGCTTAAGTGCGGCTCTACGATGCGTTTCATTAGCCACAGCTGCACTCCCAACGCTGCGTTCGTGGAGGCGCAACACAGGTCCAACGTCAAGGTGCTAGTTCGCATGGTCGAGAATGTGTACGCTGGTACGCAGATAACGGTGGACTACGGTAAGCAGACGTGGTTTCGGTGTGCGTGCGAGCAGTGCTGGACGCGGAAAGATGAGGACGAGGACGAAAGCAGTTGACGTGGTTAGTAGCTGAATGAGTTGCATTTGATAAAAACCCTCGTGTAGATAGTGTTTTTGAATGTTTCGAATGCATTTCTCTACTTCTGGAGGCGTAAATGTGAGTTGACTTGAGTTGCCCTCCACCAGAATAAACTACAATAACAATATTATAACAATTTGAAGAACCGATTGACATATACATTTCCTTAAACGACAGCTCGCTGCCGACGAAACGGGAAATTCCGGATTTCCTCAGGTAGAAATGATGCAGTACGCTTCTAGAAGGTTAAACATGTACAACCACCGACATAATTCACAATAACGGAACTTCTAGATTGGTTTTAAGAAATCCCTCAGGTACAATATTGAGTTGTATACGAGTGTCTGTATAATATCCACGTTTATCTGCGTGAGCCAGCCTATATGTACCGCTGGGTGGCTAGTAAGTCAGGGCCGGGCCCACGGCGTGCGGCCGGCCACCACTGTCGTCTCCTCCTCGCTTTCTCTTGTTCCTGTTCACGAGGACGTTCCTCCCTCTGCTGTCAACGTTCTCGGTCACTCGTAGCGCGAAGAGTACATGAATACATGTTCCAAATGCAAAGCAATAGTTGCATGGACACCACCGATTGTTGATATCCACGGGCCACCCACCCCACGGCTGACCCTGGACCTCCATACGGGCATAGTTCACGCCCATCTGGGCGGAAACTGCAATGCCCTCCTCCTTCCTTTTGTGTGGAGCCACAGGCACTCGTTTCGCCAGTTGAGATGCCACCATCACGATAGTAGACCCCCCCGCACAGCTATACACAGGACAACCCCCGACGCTCACACCAATAAGTCCCTCACGCGCCATTTCTGCGACCCTTCGCGTGAGGATTTTCGAAGTACAGACGTCGTAGCTGAACGGGCGAGTACTTGTCGAAAGGTCATGGCAACAAGCTGCCAGCTCGCGCAGCAACGTACCCATCTTGAGCCTTCGTCGTAGAGTGTAGTCTCTCTTGAGCAATGCATTGAAAGTTTCGGAGGGATTGTTCGTGGCCGCGAAGCCACTCGGGGTTAGGAACGTTTGCCATGAGCTGAAACGTCCATGCAACCACTGTGATCTCATGGATTGCGCAAAGCCCACCAAAAATGGATTGGACATCCACTTCATTAAAATGTCCTCCCGAAGTCGCTGGAACTCGAAATCGCTCCGTGTAAAATGCAGGTCGTACACATCTCGTACCAGCGCAGACGCCACACCCGCGGGAAATTGCTTAGTCGCCTTCATCACCTTTTTAATCACGTGAAAAAAGCACATTATGAACTGGAAGCCTGGGTGGTGTCCTAACGTGGCATGTAAAGCGTTGTACTGGGCCTGGTCAGCGTCGGCCATTGCGTACCGGATGTGTAGATCTCTCTTTGTGATCCAATAGAACAACCGGCGTAGCGAAAAGAGGACTGCTTCGAATATGGGCTGCGTCTCTTGAGAGACGACGTATAGTGCAACCAAATGGAACCGCCGGCTACGATCTGACACGCCAACGACAACAACGGGGTAGCCGCGGCAGTTCATCTTGTACGTCGCGTCAATATGTAGAACGAATTGGTCTGGAGACTGCATTAGCCTCATCACTAAAGCTTTGGTAGTTAAGCCAACTACAAAAGGTTTCCGATCGGAACCGTCGCCGACGACAGGCTTCCCTTCAGGGTTCAATTGCCAGCCGAAGGTGAAAGGCTCATCCATCGCTTCAGCTCCAGTGTAGGCCCTCTCGTGAACCCACGCTCTGAGCTCGTCCACACGATCGTGGTTTTCAAGATACGTGCGGCTGTAGTGATTCGCATAGTTCTGCACCACTCCAAGTAACGGAAGGTTATCTAGTGGCACCAAGAACTTTCGCGAGAGCGCATGGTGAATGCGAAGTGGGCGTACGTGGAGCTCTGCTAGCTCGCGGCAATATTCTTTCTGCGCCCGGGTGAGTTTCTTCTTCTTTGGTGAGACGGCATCACTGTTGTGGTCTCCAAAGTCGTAGATAGACACACACCTCGTGACCGTACAGGTCAATAACTTCCCGCGCCAGGCGCACACCGAGCTGGAGCTGTTGCTGCACGCGTCCGAGCTACAAACTAGCAGGCGATACCGCATCTTGTGAGGCTCAGGATCAGGCTCCGTGCAGACCGTGCAGACCATAGTGTGGCTCTTGCGTATGTCGAAGGACTTCAGTGCGTCCAGGATTGCCTCACCCTCGCCCGCCTCGGCGGTTAAGGCGAGCTCTCGCCAGAGAATTCGCTTTGGCATCCTCCCGCTTGCAGTTCTGTGGTCACCAGAATGGATTTTGAGTGCGACGATATTTTTTTGTGAATGTACAAATATTGATCGACGATCTCAATTTGGTCTGTGATGCACTGCCGAACGGCGCTGTTATTGGTCAACTGCCCTTCTGGTCCTTCAACAAAATGCACAGCCATAGAATGGGCCTTCGGCCAAAGACGACGCATCTATTTGTGTTGCTACCATAACGTGTTGTGGTGCAACAGAGTTGTGGTGCAGCAACAGATTTAAAGTGCCAAGACTCACGGTAGTGTGAACTTCACTGTCCCTCGTTGATGAGATGATCTCTGATGCACGATCAACATGCTGGCGCCAGCAGCATTCTTCGCTCCAGCCTGGACCATAGAGGACGGCAGCCCAGCAAGCGCACGCTCCACAATAACCGCGTCATCCTGTAGCTCCACAAGCCGCCACGTCGATCGCAACGACAGGAATTGCACGTCGAAGAGGGCCAAAGTTTGCCACCTACGGTCTTTGTACGTTGGCTTGCTACCACTTCGTTGGTCGCTTTGATTGCGGATATCTGTTGACGGACGGAATGCGACTGCAACTCGGAACGGAAGACTCGATTCGCGCTTTGCTGCTCTTACATGTGTATCGAGTTTGTGTTTTGTGTTCGCGACCATGTTAATTTGTGATGGAATAATCATGGTGTAAACCGAGCTTTTGGAAAATTATCAGCAAGGGCAAACCGCGACTGAATAGTGTCAGTAGTGATAGCAATCGAGTGAGAAGGGCAAAGAAACTAGCCGCTTTAAAACGGAGAATGGCTCAATTTCCAGTGGTTGTTATTAAAATGACACAAACCTCTTTACAAGAAAGATTGTGTCAAACCGAACAAAGATCTCTTGATTGAAAACTCTATCGTGTTCAAATTCCCCTGTAGGGTACAGTGCATTAACGTAGTCTCTAAGGGGGTCTAGGGGTACTCTAGATGCCATTTTATGCACAGGTTGAGCGGACAATGTAACCTAACTGGCTCATATCAGGTTTAGGAACTTTGCGCACTACTGAATTTTAATAACTAAAATAACTCTGGTGGTCCCTCGTTTAAAGTGTCGAGTTCTGACAATTCCTAAGAATTCACATTAGGATTTAGTAATTCTTTCTCTGAGCGTACGCTAGTGGACGGACGTAATGGATTAGGTTACATCATCCGCTCATCCTGTGCATAAAATGGCATCTAGAGTACCCCTAGACCCCCTTAGAGACCACGTTAATGTACTACATGGTACAGTACATGTAGCAGAAGGTTCGGCGCATCAATTTCGCCTCTCGGATGCAGATCTCGCCGGCAGTAGTTTGCTAAGGATCTGACACTACTGTACTACCAACTCGGAAAAAGCATTCGCTGCATAGCTCACGCAGCGCACTCGAAGTTTTGTCTTGGGAAAAACAGATTTTTATAGTACCGGTTACCTCGATTTTTTGTTACTGGTTGCGGCATCTTGCACAGCCACCAAGCTCTGGCAAATTCGACTAGTTGTGAATAATTAGGTCATGTCCAAACAATGCAGCTGGAGAACGTCTACGAGTTCTTGTACACTTGTCCGCCATATTCCAACCCTACGCCGGAGCACCATAATCAGCTGATGTGTCTGTGCGCTACATTACAGCTCGCAGATTCTTGGGTTACCCCTTTGGCGGATGTTTGATTTATTAATAGGAAGCGCAATGCACTAAACAGCTGGAGGACTCCAGTTCTGGAAGCACACGCTTTACCGTACGGTGTCGGATCTCTATTGCTATTGATCGTCATACCGGCCATAGTTTTTTTTTTTCAACGCCCGGATATTCCGCCTCGCAATGAAGAATGTGTTCGACCAATTCACTCACTAAAAAAGGTTATAGTAACTTTTGGTTCATTTGGCTTCATAACACTGCGTTTACCCCGATCGGCGGGCGATTCTGAGTAAATGAAGTTAAACAAAAAAAGCTAAGATAAAAGCTTTCACTCTATATTATTAAACTCTACTAAACTACCAAATAACACATGAAGATAACTATGATAAGCTTAAACTGTTTTTCAGCAACTATTAAGCACAAATATAAGAAGCCAAACTGCACTTTTACATTTTGTATCATTATTTTACTTTATTAAAATGTATTTTCTTAAGTACGGTTTTTTTAAAATATTATTAAAAATATTATGGAAAAGTTCGTAGTTATGAACATACTGTATAAATATCGGCCAAGCGTGCAACCGAGTGTGCAACCGTGATCTGATTGGTACATAGGATGTTGTATACGATTCTATTGGTCAAAACTACAAGCGCAGTGACGGATGACCACCTTGCTGCTTGTCACGGCGAAGTGCAAGTAGAATGCTGGTTACCGGGAGCTGTCGACCGTAAATAGCGTAGATCCTGTCCACAGCGACATCGCTACTATATCCAGCTCTAACCATTGTGGCTACTACATCCCAAAACATCTTACGGCGTGAGTAGGCAAACTTGTTGGCTCCGCGTTCAGCCGCCGTGTACTCTCTTGCTGCCTTCACCCCATTCAAGCCAAACTCGTACTCCCCCCACAACTCGTAAAGATCTTTTGGTCGTTTTGAGAGCCGTACGCTGTGAGTATCAGAAGCAGTAGCAGCTAATACTTCGCCGTCATCTTCCATGGATACGGGATTTCGTCGTATAGTACGAGCAGCTGGCTGCAATGCTATACGTCGCAGAACCGCCATTACCTTTTGTTTGTTTCGTTGGCTTTCCGTCCTCAGCCTGAGGACCCCATTCAGAACGTTAGCAATCTGGTGCTGCATGCCAAAGAGCTGGGAGTGAACGGCTGCAAACTCCTTACGCATGTTGTCCGAGGCTGTGATGCCTTGGATCAGCTCATTCCCACTGCCATCCGTAGCGTCGTGACGAATCTCAACAAGTTGAAGTTGTGCTCCATCACCAACAATGTGAAAGGGCACACGCTTCACGGGGTTGACTGCAGTGTTGTCTCCGGCATCGATATAGGCTTGAATAACGCGTTGTTTTAGTGCAATTTGAACCAAATCGTAGTCGAAACTCCCACTTGGAACCAAAGACGCCCACAGCAGCGGCAGCGCCAGCACCCGAGCGACCCCCTCCCCCATAACTTCTTTAATAGCCGGACCAATGTGATTGACTAGCAAGTCAATCGTGACGGCCTGTACACCTTCTTGGAGAGTGTAGCAGCATGGACCTAGAGGACTTGCCAACCTACCAGCCGCTATAGCGTCCGGATATGGTTGAGTGTTGTCGATGTATACGTCGACAACATTTTTTCGTGTGCGCCACCTTCCGCATCATTTAACAAAGTCCTTTGGAACGCCGCTTCTACTACCGTACGTTGCAGCTCCCTTTCGTAAGCTGTGTGTACCGAGATTGCCAGGTTTTAGCTTGTGGAAGTCAGCTCCATCGAAAATATCTTGAAGAAAGCGTCGGATGACTCGATCACCGTCTTGCGCATTACCAAATACGTAAGGCGAGACTGCTATACTGTCAGTCGTCTCCACATGCACCGCCAAATTAAGTAGTACACATACACGAGGGTTCATACTGCCAAGTACAATTTGTTCCGGAGCATCACGCTCCTCAGATATGTTTTTTGACCAGCGCAGCTGGCAGTTAAGAGTTCCCGGGTGGTGGATACTGCACGAGAAACTGTCAAACTTCATCTTCATCATATCGTCAATGCGGGCGATGAGATGCCATTGCAAGGTGAGCACAGCAGACACTAGATACTTAATGGCCCCTTTGTCGTTGCTGGAATGAACTTGGTCCAGCAGGTTGATGAACTCTTCGTACTCAATCGGGCGCCTAGCTGCCGACTGCACGCCTTCCCCACGAACCTCGCAGCGCTTAACCTTCTTGATCACCGCGTTTACAGCCTCGGATCTAGTGGGGTTACCTTCGCTGCGTATTGGGTCCCAAGCCACTGTGCGCCGAGGCATGAAGGAGGAGATGGCTTTTTTTTGTTGCAAATTCCAAGTTAGACGCTCTGGTATTTACTGGCTTCGCGTCCTCAGTAGGATTCGGATCGCCAAACGCGTGAGAATTCATCCAACGGCACACGTCGTCAGAGGTAATCGATAGTAGCATGTCCTGATTGAAGATAGTGTCCGCGGCAAAGGTGTGGTCGACTTTAAACGTCATGAACTCGCATATAATTGACTTGTAGCGCTTTGTGCTCATCGATATTGTGTCCTGCTCCGCGTCTTTGATTGTGAGGGGGTGGATGGCTGGATTTTTGCAACCAGGTTCGAAACACTACACTTCGTTTTTGTATCGGTAGGCTGTAAGAGTCAGTAAATTTGTCAACCGTCTCTGCAACTACTTTTGCAGCGGGTACGGCTGCGAATTCCAAAGTATCGGACCCATACAAGCCGGAAATACGTCAAATTCTACTTATTAGCCAATGAGATTCTCCTCATTAGGAAAAATACAACCTGGGTTGGAAATGGCTGGATATGTTTAGGTATGTGAACTCGACAATGAGTGCGACCGGGCAATACGTAATAATAAGCAAGGAGCTTCACCGAAGTCGGCACTGAAAAGGAGTTCGCTCTATAGTATCGGGGAGTCTCCCATAAATTCTTACTATTAATTCTTGGCATTCATGTACGCGTATCCAGGTTGCTGCCGTACACGTATCACAGAGCTCGATATTTCGCCATGTAAATAACTGTATACTTACCGACTTCGCAATCCATATGTAGATGCAATTGTTTGTTATGTAGCTGCCTGGCAATGAACTCGTGGTTTCTAGGTACTTGCACAGCTATGACCCAATCTCTCTACTATTACTTCGGACTACTACACATAGTGTTGTAGGCCGCTAAAAGACACATCCATTGATGCTAACTACTGTAGCTAGCATCAATGGATGTGTCTTTTAGTTCGAAGAACTAATATGTGCATCAAAGTGTACTCTACATGTTACTAGTAGTAGCTTACTACAGTAATATTAAAAGTATTACTATCTAATACAACTGTAGTAACATGGATTTACTAATACTATTTGTACGTGTTTCCCGGTACTATCCGTCAATATCATCACTGATAGGTATGAATAAATTAGTCACCAGGCCGATTTCTTGTTCCGCTCGACGCAAACAGGCTCTCTCTATCCTGTACGGGCGCCAGGATTCATCGTTCTGCAAGATTCATGTATTAATAGCTTACATGTGACTACTGATACTGAACCTCAACTTGAAGAGACACGATACAAAAAGTTTAATTTCTAACTTTAAAGACTCTGCTCGTGTCACTCTTATAATGTGCAAAACCTGACCCATGTATACACTATTGTAACGACTACCAACTTGTGCGATAAAGCCATAGTATCAACAAGCAATTTACACACACACACACACACACACACACAATATTGTAATAATTAAGAACTGTAGCCTACCGCACTGCGAGAATTTACATAGTATAGCTCCAGGAGCATAGCACTTGAGCGGGCCATGCTGTAGTCAGATAATTCATTTAGACGGTAGAGTGAAATGCTAAAATCCGCAAACTTGCCGTTCTTCTGATTTCTGCTGTCTGTTCGATATATAACACGTGGAAACTCCAACAATGTACCGATAGCCACAGATATCATTCACTCCCGCATGGCAATTTGAGGTTTAACCAGCACGATGGTATTAAATAAAGAAGCATTTTTTCTTACCACGATTGGTGAACGATGTACCTTAAATTTTGGGCTATGTTTCTATAGCACTACTCTCTTACCCCGCATATTAGACGTAGGTTCTCTAAACGAATACTAAGCTGCTCGTGTGTTCTATTCGTTTATGTCGCCTATCTTGTTAGTGGCACCCGCACGTACATGCATTTTATTGTGGGAGGTGGATCGCAGCTCATATTTATTGGTGAAATAACAGGCAATAAATTAAATTGATCGAGCTTTTTTTTTTTCAAACAACGTTCGTTAATATGATATTGTACTAGTGCATAAAGTGCAATAGCAAAGCATTGCAGGAGCTTTAACATCGCCACCCATGTAGACAATCTGTCTGAATAATTCATCAGCTAAATAGACTACCTTACCTGTATTGCGTTTTAATTGCATTATGATTAATAGTAGAAGCCCACCACAATGTTAGCTCGTTCGATATGCTGACGCAACCGTCTATACAAAAAAACATTCATAAACATATAAAATACTATAATTATTATCTTCATTCCAGCTAGCTGCGCGGGCTTTGTTTCTGCTGGAGTTCGTGAATATAACCGCACACTGACGCCGTGATGAGATCGCCATTCAGAATGGGACGAATGATCTCCAGGTCCTTTTTGAGGGCAGGGTCATCCGGGAACAACTTGTAGCGGTACAAGACCACCCATCTTAGCGTCACAGCCACAGTTCTTCCCGTCAATGGATCTTTCCGCGGCGTCATTGTGAGACCAGAGATACCGAACTCCAGTGCACTTGGCTGGGAAGTTGGATACAGCGGATCGTCCAATACGGCGTCCATGTGAATCACCCCATGCGAAGGCGTTAGCTCGGAGCACAAGATGTGGTTCACATTCGCTGGCAGTCCCACTCCGTCAAGTGTCAATCGCCAGTAAGCTGCTGGTGCGTCGGCCTTGTTAAGCCTCGTACGCGTCGCATCAACACCGAAGTGACGCTTCATTGTAGCAGGAATGGCGTCGTGATAGGCTAACGCCGCAGCATACACGTCTTCTACTGAATTATGCGGAATCTCTGACATAAAGACACTGGTAACCAGCGTGTAGTCCTTGCAGCCGGTGATGTCAATCTGTGAAATCGGTAGTATCGATTTACTCCCTTGGGCTTCGTCTTGAAGCGCAAGTACTTTGTTGACTGCCATTTGCGTAAGCCGGTTCATCATTGACGGTACCGTAGCGAGGGAGCGTTCGTTATGAGCGCTCAGCATCCTACTACGCTCCTCCGGATCGCGCCCGAAGCGAGTGTCGAAGTGTAGCGACTTGAGGATGTCCTGGCCGCTAGAGTGAAGCGGAGCACGAAGAATAGCCGCCTGGAGCGTAGCGAACATCAGTTGCTGTTGTAGATGCACCTCCTGGAGCTCAGCGTGTGCCGCCTCGGTCACAGCGACTTCGCGTTTCTTACAGGCGGTACGCTGAGCTGAGGTCAGTACGCGCTTGTCTGGTAGCTGTTGATTCCATTTGGACTGCAGACCGCGGAGTTCCTGTTCCATGGAAGCCACTTGCGCTCTCAACAGACGAAGTTCATGAGTCGCAGTGAGTGGCGTTTTGTTGGCAATGCGTGGCTTTCGTCGGGACCGTGTTGCTCCTTTGATTGCGGCGATGATGTCTTCGTTCGTCAGAGATGCTCGTTGTCGCTTCTTGGAGGACTGTGTCGGAGATTCTGCTTCAGAGCAGCTTTGAGATCTCGAAGACGAGTCCGTTTGGGGAACGAAGTCCATCAGAACCATGGGTTGAGCGGAGGAACCTTTAAATTGACTAATGCGGAGCCTCGGGTTGGTTGGAGCTGGCGGTTGATCAGTGGACTTCGAGAAGGGGAATTGCAAATTGTACTGATGCATGCCTTCGGGGGTGGCTCCGAACGACACGACATGCTCTCGAAATACATGTCCATTACGTACAACACATGTATTCGAACTGGAATCACCCTCAAAGTGGTGGTGTTTGTGCGGCGAAGTGTTGATATTTCATATGGTGGCACGGTTGACTCGCTCTCTCTCGCCCGACCCCTCCACACATCAAGTCCACGACAGTTTGTCATTTACGGGAAAGCGTAATAGGAATGTGAAAGTCAACGACTTCGTGTTCTGTTCAAGGTTTAAGAATTGGATCAATCGCCACAGTTCAAGCTGAGAGATACACACTATGTCTATGCGAAAGAACTGTTTTACACGTATAGAGTAAAATACCATTAAGTTTACATGTACATGTACTCCAGAGGCTGTTGCAATCTATTTTTTTTCTTACCGTAGAAAAAGCAATCCACCGCTCATCGACTGCATTTCAAGTGCAGCATTTGGCCCGATTCAAACGTACATGTAAAGTGAATCTCAGCAAGGGAACAAATCGTGGGATCTCTGCGGTTAGTATTCCAGTGCTGTCTTCCAGTGGTGATTCCCACAATAGCAAGTACAGTGTACATACCTGTGCTTGCTATCGTGGGAATCACCACCTACAGTTTCACTGTGCTCACGCAAGCTGCGTGCAGCTCAACCGAAGACGCATCGATTGATGCCTCCGTGCTGGAGTTGAACTTTTCTTCGTCTACAGTACGAGATCATCGCACAGCGTTGCATTGCCATCAGCATGACTATGAGTACATGTATCCGATGTTAAAAAGAAATGAACGGTGAACACGCGATTGAATACAATATACTAGTGTGTACGAGCTACAGATACCCAATAGTTCTCCAAGTGACTGTCAGACGCAAGAGAGAGGATATGATGAAATGGTCGGTTGTAAAATATGGAATTAAAGGTGTATTGTTGATAGGTTATCTGAACTTTCACATAATGATCAGATCGCAATGAAACCGAGAATAATCAGAAATCTTCAAGGTCCTTGCTGTTTCTGTTGAATGTAGCTACACACGGACGCAGTGATCAGGTCTCCATTCAGAATAGGTCGAATTATCTCCAGATCTTCCTTAATGGAGGGGTCACAAGGTAGCATGTTGTAGCGGTACACGACCACCCAACGCAGCGTCACAGCAAGAGTTTTCCCTGTCACGGGCTCTTTCCGAGGAGTGATCGTGAGACCACAGATTCCATATTGTGACGAAGCTGCTTCAGACACTGGGTGCAGCGGATCCTCCGTCACGGCGTCGATGTGGACCATGCCGTGCGAAGCAGTCAGCTCTGAGCATACGATGTTGTTCACAGTCGCGGGCACTCCAGAACCGTTGAAAGTCGAGCGTCGGTACACCACAGGCGACTCAGCTTTGTTCAGCCTCGTTCGCTTGGCCTCAACGCCAAAATGTTTCTTCATCGACATCGGAATGGCGTCAAAATAGGCCAGCACAGCCGCGTACACCTCTTCCAACGACGTGTGTGGGATCTCTGAGATGAACACGCTTGAGATCAGCGTGCAGTCCTTGCAACCGGTGATTTCTATTTGAGACAGCGGCATCACGGAGCTCTCCGTGGCACCTTTGCTCTGCTTGTCCAGCACCTTTTGAATGGCCATTTCCGAGAACTTTTTCACGATAGACGGCAGCGTGGCAAGCGAGCGTTCGTTGTGCGCTGTGAGCATCTTCTCCCGCTCCTCGGTCTCACGTCCTAGCTGCGTATCGAAGTGCAACGCCTCGAACATCTCCTCTCCACTCGAGTTTAGTGGGGCATGAAGAACGGCGGTTTGTAGCGTAGCGAACAGAAGCTGCTGCTGTCGAAGGAGATGCAGGAGCTCGGTGTGCATCTTCTCGGACTGATTAGCCGCGTGTTTCTCGCGAGCGGAACGATGCGCGGTGGCCAGCGTTCGTTCGTCCGGAATCTGACTGGCCCATTTAGACTGAAGACCCTGAAGCTCTTCTTCCATGGACGCCACTTGAGCTCTCAGCATTCGGATCTCGTTCGTGGCAGTAAGCGGCGTTTTGGTCGAAGTTCGGGGCCTGCCACGCGGTCGTGTAGTTGCTCCGGTAAGTGCGAAGATAACATCTTCGTTGGTATCGGGAATCTCGCTCAGACGACGGCGTTTCTTGATAGCGTGCGCGTTGGCACCCGGTTCTGGACAGCTATAGGTTCTACGAGGAGAGCCAAGCCTTGGAAGAGGGGCCATGACCACCATTCCGTTCTAGAATGTGAGACTGAGCTGTTGGAGGGGAATCAAGAAATACGCCACGTGAACTGTGTCCACAAGCCAACGAGACAAATCGCGACTGTGGTGCCGAGTTGTCTCTCCTCTTGGCTGCTTGAAGAATGAGCGGAGACACCCACGCCTGTTTTTCGGTGTCAATCAAAGTTTACGCGGCTGTTGTTCAGCGAACAGCTTTGCCGTGTTTCCCGTGTTTCCCACGCCCCAGCCCTCCACACGCAAATCTCACAATCTTGGAGGGCACCGCATGAATCTTGATTGCGATTAAAACGTGTGCGAACAAGTTTTCTGACATTTTCTGTACGTACGTACATGCAAGAAATGTTCTCACAAGTGTAGTTGCCTTTAGGACGTGTACAAATCCGATCCTGTGATGGGGACCCGAACGTTTTTGAAGTTTATTGGACGGTGCAGCAGCCCGCCCTGCTACTACAGAAATTGCCACATGATCATGGCATTAATAAAAATCATTTTTTATTCTCGAAACTGTTCCTGTAGCCTGGTCTATCAGTCGTGGTTTATTCAAGACGTTGAACTGATTAAATCTACTTGTTGGTTTTAGTTTTACATGTGTTGCCTCGCGATAAATATACTACTACGATGTTTGTTGCTTACTTAGGGAATCAGAGTATTCCTTTGTCAACCCGTGATTCCTAACCTTGGTTGACAAATCTTAGTTACAAACGCGGCTTGGGAAATCGCAGTACAAGACTACTGTCCTGTCCTATCGAGTTGCAAATACTGAAAGTGGGGTGCAACGCACGGTTCAAAACCTGATGGAGATTGAATCTCCGTGCATTCTTTACCTACTGCCTGTGTCGGGCGAACCTTTTTAATGGCCTGTAGTTATATTTAAGTTCCAGCGTACTGTACGTGATTCTCAAGATCGGCGAGTTTCAAAGCTGATGTTTCCTGCCAGGCAAAGCCTGGTAGCGCTACGTTGTTGCACTACACACCAAGCTGATGACGCGGCCGTCTATGGTTCGTTAACTCGATCCGCACGCGATTGCTTGACCACTCTGTGTAGAAGAGATCCGCATCGCACGCCCACCAATCATTGAAGCGTTGTTTTTCGTACCCTGTACAAGTAGAGCGCATGGAACCCATGGTGGAGGTCCTGAAATCAACACAGCCCATTCTACTGTATTCTAAAGCTTTAATTTACAGTTAAGTTTTTTTTCGGTTAGAGCAAAGAGAAGTGATCCGTACATTCACCACTTAATTCCTAAAACTTGACAACTGTTTCTTTTGAAGATACTCACACACTGAGGAAGTAATGAGGTCACCGTTCAGAATAGGCCGAATGATCTCCAGCTCTCTCGCGAGTGCCGGGTCGTTTGGTACCAAGTTGTAGTGGTACAAAACTAACCACCGCAGCGTCACCGACAAGATCTCTCCCGTTAGGGGATCACGTTGAGGCGTAATGGTTACTCCGCAGATTCCGAACTGTACCGAGGATACATGATACAACTGGTCATCCGTAATGACATCGACATGAAACATACCGTGTGATGCTGTGAGCTCTGAGCATAGGACGATGTTAACTCTGGCAGGAATCCCGTTCCCGTCGAGCGCCCAGCGCCAGTATCCGACCGGGGAGTTTGCACGGTTGAGTCTTTCGCGCTTCACATCAATGCTGAAGTGGCGCTTCATATAAGTCGGGAGGTCCTGAAAGTAAGAAGCAACCGCTTCGTATACTTCCTCCAATGTCGCATTTGGAATCTCCGAGATGAACACGCTCGAGACAATCGAGCTGTTTTTGCCGCCCGTGACGTCAATTTGAGAGAGTGGAATCACTGGCTTGCTTGCGTCCTCCTTGCCCCGTTGTGCAAGCACCTTATCCATTGCCTCTTGTGTAATCTTCTTCACGATCGAAGGTATTGTAGAAAGCGAACGGTTGTTATGTGCGAGCAACACTTTCTCGCGCTGTTCCGGATCACGTCCGAGACTAGTGTTAAAGTGCAACGCCTTCAGCATTTCCTTCCCGCTTGAGTGCAATGGGGCGTGCAAGATGGCTGTTTGCAGGCTGGCGAACATGAATTGCTGTTCTACTTGAATGTCTTGCAGTTTGTTGTGCTTCTCCTCAGTCTGACCCACCTCGTACTTCTCGCGAGCTGAATGCTGCGCAGTCGCTCGTGTCGATGTGTCGGGTAGTTGTTCAGTCCACTTGGATTGCAGTTGGTTGAGCTCGTTCTCCATTGCTGCGACTTGGTCTCGCAGCTGACGAATCTCGTGGGTGGCACTAACGGGTTTGTTGACCACGCGGGACGGACGATTAACATCAGCAGGCACATTGATGATACCTGTACCTTCATCAGATTGGGATGTTCGTTGACGCTTCTTGGATGCTTGACTTGCACTAGTTGTGTCATCGGCGGACCCAACTTTTGAATGCATTTTTCGGGAAGAGGGTCGTAAAAGCCCCGTACGATGGCCCAAAGATAGTTATGAACGTGTGGATGTCCTGCACGGGGACTGGGAATTAAACTGTGCCCGAAGGAAGGACTAGCTTTGAGACCAGCTGTTTACCGAGGCGTAAACAGCGGATGACACTGTACGCTCGATTTGAGCGGTACAGCGTCATCCGCAGGTGGAGATTCGATAGATTTGGCTTAAATGAGACAGACACGGTTGCGGCGCTCCATTTTGCACATGCTTGAGTTACCTGAACAGCTCACACGGCTGTTGGGGATCCGGTTTGAGCTGTGAACACATGCGCCAAAGTCTGTTATTTTGTGACGGATAGGACGGAAGCATTCCGATGTTTGCATTACTCGTGCACTGCTCAAGTACAGGGGCAAACATCGAGGTTGCTATGCTTAGCTAGCGAGGGAGTTGGCTATGATGGAGAATTTTGATACAACCCAATATCGGTCTATTGTTCTAGCTCCACCTTGTACATCAATCTCGGTGTGCCCACTTGTTCATCATAGCTTCAATATGATAGCCAATCAGAACTGTGGGTCGTCACCTCCGGAGCGTGCTAGGATGCACAACACAATCCAGCTGCAAAGAACTGCTGGATGCTTGGAGCCGAGTAATGGCTGCATTCATGAGGGGCTGGCTCCTCTAAAAGTTACCGATAGTGTACTCGGACTCCCTCAGTCTGCTGTTTTTTGCCAAGGCCGAATACAACTGCTGGTGACGTCAGGCCGACATGCGACCGGATCTCTAAAATGCGCTTCCGCTACGTCTGTCGTGCAAGCACTGGAGTTCACTAACTACGACTCGAATCACTGCAACGACTCGGTGGTCGAACAGACTGGTTTCCGATGTACTTCCAAGAGTGCTCGATAAAATACCATCAGTAAAATTCCCTCAAGGATGTCGGAAATGTTGCCTAGACACGTTAAACAAAGCGGAATGTGATTCTCGTGTAGTAGTATCAATTTGTGGTAGAGGATACTTGTAAACGAAATTCAACTTTATAACACGCTAAAACTCTATAACACGCTAAAACTCTATAACAACACAGCGTTACTCTAACGTTACTGTCTTTACGAGTCTTTCTGTCGATGGCTTCTCTATACGGCACCACATTCAATCGCTTTGAGGGCTTGGCTGTTGGCTCTCTTGGAGATAGCCACACACTGCGGAGGTGATGAGGTCACCGTTTAATATGGGTCGTATATTCTCCAGTTCTTGTCGAATAATGGGGTCATCCGGCAACAGGTTGTAGCGGTAGACCACTAACCACCGCAAAGTCACCGACGTGATCTGGCCTGTTATCGGATCTTTCCGCGGGGTAATTGTGATCCCATTGAGTCCATACTCCACCACATTAGTCGAAGACACGGGGTTCAACGGATCGTCTGTGATGGC